TTTTAAAAAAATTTTTTTTATTTTATTATTTTTGTGTGAGGGTACCGTCAAATCAGATCTGACTGGTACAGGAGGAGATTGCCCCTCCTTCCTCGGCAGAGCATCTGGTGGATTCGAACCGTGCACCTCTGGGATTGTAGTTGCAGATTCTTGCCACTAGGCCACCAGAGCTCCCCAAATTTATATCATTTTTTAAATTAATTTTAATGAAAATTTACAGAGACTGGATTTCCATTCATTGATTGTTGCACTTTTCTCCCTGCCCACCCCTCCCCCCCAACTCTTCTCTTTGAAAAGTAAAAGAAAAATTCTTTCATTGTTATACAATCCCTCCCCTCAGGTCCACTCCACTATGCAGCCTTCATTCTGGACTCCTGTCATGACAAAAATACCTAATCACATATCCCTTTTACACATAATTTTTATGTGTTTCAAAATATTCTTCTTTGACTTTTTCAACTATTTGAAAACATGAAAACTATTCTTAGCTCAGAGGTGTCAGGCCAGAGTTTGCAGACGCCCTGTCCTAAGAGAACAAAAGTGAAAATCCAGACTGACGGCAGGGACAAAATTTTCCAAGTGGTGAGAGGAAGGGCTTGCTCCTTTACAGAGAGAATAATAGACCAGGGTATTCCTTTAGAAGGAGGACTCCACTGGGACATCTATTCACTCATGATTCAGTTCATCCAAATTTGTCGTGAAGGTCCTTGGACATCATCTGCTTTACCACCCCGTCCCCTTTCCTTTCACTTAGACCGAACACTAGGTGAGTGTGTGAGGAAACGCAACAGCAGTCTCTCATGAGACCTCTTCTGAGAACCAGGAAGGCAGAACAAGTAGCCTTGGAGTATTTGAAAGGCTGCGTCCAAGACCCTGCACTTGGTAGTCAACACCTGCCGCTCCCGAGCTTCCCGCTGATGACTGCTGAGGGTCAACTGCTTCTTAGTCACAACTCAACCTGAGACCTGGCCTCCTAGAGAAGAGCAGCTTGGAAAGGGCAATGCAGAATGGAGTGAAAAGAGAATGATAAGATATCGACCTGTCTGGAGAACAGAAAGCGAGACATGGGGGCACCGCACCATGAGCTTCTCTCTGAAAGGGCCAGAGCAGAAAGCAGATAATGAGCCAGCAGTCCAGTCCCGTGGTGTCTGCAGAGCTAGAGATTAATTTATTCGTTGCTGACCCCCAGATTCCTAGTTACGGTGTCAACAATGGGGTTTATAACGGAAGGAAGTTGGAGAATGGAGGAGGCAAAGAATATCTACCCAAACAAGTCTAGGTTTTAGCCCAAGTTCCAAGGCACAATTCTAATGCCACAGGACCCCAACATAGAGACTTAGAAAAGTGCAGCCTGCTGTCACTTAGCCTTGAGGCAAGAAATTCTCATCGCCACTTAGGAGCAAATTCTCTATAATATGTTATATATATATATATTGTTTAAGAACAGAAAGGCAAGTTTATGCATCTTGAGTTTTAGATTTTGTGGGCTGTACAGTCTTTATAAGATAAACCTCCATGAAAAGACATTCTGAGAGTCTTTTAACAATGGCTATTAAAAACACACCTATTCCCACTTCTTCTCAATGAAAAGGATCCCTTCCTCCTTGATGTACACTCAAAAGAATGCTAAGAAAACAATCCTTAAAATGCTGAAGATGGAAGTATAAATTGCTACCAGCCTAGTTGATCTGAGAAAGGAGAATGTTAAGCTGATACTGAGGAAAAGTTGAGAAGTCTTCTAGTTTCTCTTTGAAATCAAACCCAGACCCACTGTCCTCAAGAGGCTTCTGACTCACAATGAACCTGAAGTTCAAAGAACGGCCTCAGAGGCTTTCCAGAGCAGAAACAGATGACTTTATGCTTTTTCTGAGGAGCTGCTGGTGGGTTCTAAGCACTGATCTTGTGAGCAGTGGTCAATGGCTTAAACCACTGTGCCACCAGGGCCCCTTATTTGTTTTCTATACTTCCCCAAAGGCTCAAGAACCTCTGCAAGTGGGAGACAGGACAGGGCTATAAACAAGGGTCAGTCAAAAATCTGCTTAGGAGTTAATGAATTTTGGAACAGCCTAGCAATTGTCCTACCCATGTCAATCCTACTGAAGACCAGAGCTGCTATTTTTATAGAAACATAGTTTCTGGATTAGGAATGCCAGGTGTGGTTCTCGAGAGTATTTTAAACACAGAAAGAGTACATGAAATATTACCTTTATTTCTCTATCTCCAGAAAAATGACACCATTTAAGCTAAACACTATTAGAATGTTCTTCAGAAGGTCTAAACAGCCTGAGGACCTGATGGTGACACCCACTGAGGCAACTCTGTGTAGTGCCCCAGTCAGTTTTCAATGTGTCACCTGTCATAGACATATGAACATGAAACACAGGTTGATAGAAAAGCCTTCAATACAACAGAGCTCAAAATAGAAAGCAAGGACCAAAGTTGAAGAGACTGATTATGCACAAAGGCAAAACCAAATCCTACCATTTGTCTTTACAGAGCGAAGAACAGAGGAAAGAGTCAGGAATAGACTGAAGATACGGAATATGTGGCCGACTGCCTCTATGAATAACTGACGGCCCCCCTTTGCTACGAGATCAGAAGAACTGGACAGTGCCCAGCTACCATGACTGAACATTTTCATCATAGATCCACAGAAGAATGTTTATGAAAATTAATAAAATATAATTATAGAAAAAAAAATAAAAATAAAAACTTGGAGAAATGATGAACATTAAAAAAAAAAAAAAAAGAAGAATCTAATAAGGGGTAAATGCTGAAGAGAATTTCAGATTCATGTAAGGTCTGCCTTTCTCGAGTCACAGAGGCTGATGAACCCTTGAAGCTACTGCCCTGAGATAATCTCAAACCTTAAACCAAAAATGTCCCCTGAGGTCCTCTTATGCAAAAAGAAACCCACATATTTTTTTTAAATAAGTTTAAATCCTTGGAAGAATACAGCATTAGATGATTCTGTGCCCAACAGCCTCACAGGACAGCTGCTTTGGAAGTGCGCATGAGCCAGGCCACGGCTTCCATGGGTGTGAACTCCTTTTCCCCACATTACTTCACGTTGGCTATGTCTGCTGCCAGGAATCACTGTGCTGGTGTTTGCTCTGGGCCCATACATGTGTCTCTTAGGAGTACAAGGTACCTGCATTACGTTTCATCTTGATCATAAACACCTTCAATTTTATCAGAAGTGTGACGTACACTCTGGTTCTGGAGACCCCATTTCTAGCCAGCAAAAATGGCCTGCAGCACAACTGTGCTTGGAGGTCCTGTTTCCAGAAAGCTTCCAGAGGCTCCAAGATGGTGGAGAAAGGAGGGGGGATCTCTAAAGTATTGCTGAAAAGTGAACAACGGGAACTAGTGGGGGGGGAGGTCTACCTTGAGCATTATGAATTTTAAAGGATTATGTACATGGAATCAAATTCCCAACAGCAATTTGGAACCCTTATGTGCAATGAGTTTATGTTAATAAAGGAGGAGCAACTCATAAAAAAAGGGGAGAATGGTCTGACAGCTTGAAGATGTAATCAGTGCCCCTGCCATTGAACTGTACATCTAAAACCTCTTGAAGTCGGGGTATGTGCTATGTCCATTCTTAAAACAACAACAAAATAGTTAAAATTAGAGGAAAAAAATTATATACTAGAACTAGAAACAGCACCAGATTATATGATGATGTTGTGGACCGCAGAGTTAGACCTGACCCATAGCTGACCCTCTGGCGGGTTTTCAGAGCCAGTTAATTGCATGGGAGGAGACTGTCCATCCTTCTACCAAAGAGTGGCTAGTGGCCTCAAACCGTGTGCCTTAGGGATTACAGTACAGCTTCTTACCACTAGGCCACCAGAGCTCAGAAATAATATGTTTTAAAAAACCTCAGTACAAGAAATGGAAGACAAAATGGAAAAAAAAACAAATCTCCTGCAAAATAGATTTAACAAGCAGGCAAACAAAGCAGAAGTGGAAACCAGAAGGTAGCGGAGAATGTTGCTTAATGACAAATGCCATCAAAACTACGAAAAGATTGTGAGTGAGTAGCTGACTCCGGACAATGGTGTAGGTTGTGGACATGATGAAGAGTTTTATTATTATCCACAAAAGAGGTGATGTAATCTCACCATTACATGGCAAGTTAGCAGCACAGAGCTCCTGTAGGAAGTGGCTACCCAGCCAAGTGGTACACATGGCTGGCTTTTCACTCACAGAACGACTGGTGGTTTGAATCCACATGGTAGTGCAGTGGAAGAAAGGCCTGGTGATTTACTTCCATGAGATCACGGCCACTGAAAACCCTAGGAAGCAGTTCCACTCTGGAACATGTAGGGACAGCATGAGTAGAAAAACATGTGTTGATAAAGGCATGTTTTGTTTTACGATCCAGGTAAAACCATGGGACTGCTTTACTCAAAGGAGTATGGGAGGGAAGGTCATTCCAGTCTAAGTAGGTTAGGGATGTGGTAAGCCTGCTCCACATTCTCTCCCCCACTTTGGAAGCAACCCTGGACCCAGAGGATAAGGCCAGTAGAATCAGAATGTATAAGGAGCTGGATCTCTGAGTCAGTCCTGAGGACTGCTACCCAACCAAGAACATGCAACCTGGAATTAACTTTAAGCTAGGAGCTTGTGGCACTGGTGGCCTCAAGGAGATCTGGGTGGGCTGCAGCCCAGACTGATTGAGAAGGTCCTCATTGAGTGCAATACTAACAACACCATTGGAGATCTTAAGAAGCTGATCACAGCTCAAGCTGACATTTGTTGGAACAAAATTGTTTTTTAAGGAGTGGTACATTATTTTCAAGGACCACATACATTTGGGCGACTAGGAAATCCATGATGTGTTTAACCTGGAGTTTTATTACCAATAAAGCAGAATTCCTTCCTCTTCTATCCTTCTCTTTTCCCTCCTACTACCCTCACTGGCATGGATGTTTGTTTTTGAAAACTCACATTAATAAATTAATAAAACTTAGATGCTGAAAAAAACAACAACCAAGCATACTGAACTATGTGAGTGAGAAGTTAGCTTATGTGCATTAAACCTGGATATTCCAGGCTGATTTGTTACAGTATTTAGATCACCCTAATAAAAGAAGAACAAACAGGTTCGTCCTGAAGAGGGTGAAACCAGGCTGCTCCCTGGAGGCAAGGATTTTGAAGCTTTGTCTCACATACTTTAGGCACATGGCCAAGTGGGACTGATCCTTGGAGAAAGACATCATGCTTGGAAGGGTAGAGGGACAGTGCAGAAAAGGAAGATCCTGGATGAGATGGAATGACTCAGTGACTAAAGAAATGGGTTTAAGTCTGTCAGACATGGTGAGATTGGCTCAGGATAGGGCAGGGTTCAGAGCTCTTGTACATATGGTTGCTATGAGTCACAGGTGACTCGATGGCACATAACAACAACAAAACCTCAAGGGCACAAGAACATACAGTTAAGAAGCAAGGCCAGGAGCTCTAACATCTAAATAGTAAGAATCACATTTAAAGAGAGAGCAGAAGAGAACAGGAAGAAGTTAAGGTGTCAGGAAAAAAACCAATAAAATACTCAATCCGCAGGATGTAATTTATAACTTGAAGGTGCCAGCATCTGCCTAGCGGCATGGAAGAAAACAGACTCATTTGGGGTGTGAGAGACTGAGAAGGTTTGGAAGATGGCTTCCAAGAGGGAATCTCAAAACAGAAGCCAGAAGCCAGGCAGGGAGGGACAGGAAGGCTTCTGCACAGAAGAGGGGGTGGAGGCAGAGATGGGAGACTGGTTTCAGGAAAGTCATCGATCAAGTACAGGGATAAGAAAACAGGTTTCTCGTCAGAGAAGAAAGAAACAAGTACAGAAAAGAAAAAAGTCCTGCAGAGCTGGGTTGGTGTGGTGACTTAAGAGTAGTGCTCCAAATTATGATACTCCTCCCATTGAGAGGTGGAGTCCATGACCACACTGTGCCACTACCCAGATTCTACCCCTCACCCCTCCAAACTGCAGCCTGGGCACCTTCACTGGTTGACCAGAACCTTCTCACAGGAGGGATGATGTGTACTTCCCAGGCCTAGGCTGAGCTTTGGGACCTTGCTCTCAGACTGAGGCCACCACATGAGGACGCCCGAGACCCATGGTGAGGCCACGCACACAGAAGCAATTCTAGTCAATACTCCTAGCTGACAGCAGCCAGCATCATCTACCAGACATGGGGAGTGAAAGGATCCCAGCCCCTCAGCTGGTGAGTCATTTCCTGTGTTTAATCACCCTTTGCCTTTTCATTTCTTTTCAACTAACAGCCCAGAGAGCAGAGCAAAACTAAGCTATCCTCCCTGATTATTCAAATTCCCGAGAGTCTGTAAACATAATGAAAGGTCGTATCTTTTGTCGGTAATGGTTAAGTGGTTTGCTGCTGTTGTTGTTAGGCGCCAAATAGCTGATTTTGCCTCCAAGTGACCTCTTGTGGCCGAGCAGAACTGCTGCATAGTGGTCTAGGCTTTAATCTCTGAGAGTAGATGGGTAGGCCTTTCTTCCAGGTGGCCTCTCTCTTTCTCTTTCTTGACTGCTGAGTCAGAAGTGACTTACAGCTGACCTTCATTTGTGTTTCTGAGACTGTAAATCACACTTGAGCCACTTGGTGGATTCAAACCCCCAGAGGTATAGCCTCTAGGTTCACAGTGCACCTCCCTGCGGACTACGCCACCAGGGGCCCCTGTGGAGATGCTGGGTTAGTTTAACCTGCCACCCTTTCACAGCAGAGCAGTTAATAGCTGGACCACCAGGATTCCTTGACTGGTTACTCGGACAATCAAACCTGGACATACCAGTGTGAAGGAATAATTTTCAATAGACAGAAATATAAAAATGAATGTGTACATGCATGTATGTGTGTGCGCATGTGTGCGTGGATGTGTCCCAGTTCTGACCACTCAGGAGGGCCTGTGAGCAGTAACTGCAATGAACCAACCTAGCTTACTGCTTCAGCAGCAATAAGAAAACTCCCCGGGCTCCTTGACTTGGAACTGGGACAATTAAAACTGGAGGTATCAGTATGAAGTAATAATTTTGAAGATAGATATAGAAGTAGAAAGGTAGGGTGTGTGTGTGTGTGTGTGTGTGTGTGTGTGTGTGTGCGCGCGCGCGCGCGCGTGCGCGCGCACTTGCCCCAGTTCTGACCTCTAAAGAGGGCTTGTGAGCAGTAATTTCAACAAGCGAGCTTAGCTTCTTGCTCTAAAAGCAATAAACAAGCTCCAACAGCGTTAAGCAAACCTAACATCCAGATCTTGGTTTCTGAATTGCACTGCCACTATGAAAATCTAGATTAAAAGCCATAAACCGAATCCTTTTGTATTATCTCGACAAGTGGCAAAATTCAAATCAGTCTGAGGATCAGACTGGTAGCAATGTATCAGTGTTGATTTCCAGGTTTTGCTGGTATGAAGAAGAATGTTCTTGTTTGTAGGGAATATACGCTCTACGCTATAAAGGGTCCATATATTCAACAATAAATAAAGCTACATGGCTTAGTGTTTTGAGAACCTCAAAAATCCCAATGTCGCTACTAAACTACCTCTAAATTCACTATACAAATGTACATATACAATCAGGTCGGCTCTTTTTTTCCTTTTTTGTTTGTTGGTTTTTTGTTTCTTGTTGTGTAACTATCGAATCTGATCCAAATGGCACAGGAGGAGACTGCCCCTCCTTCTCTAGCAGAGCATCAGGTAGATTCAAACCGCGTGCCTTCGGGACTGCAGTGCAGCTTCTTGCCACAGGGCCACCAGAGCTCCCTGTGCAAGCAGTTTTCACAGTTAAAAAATTTTTTTGGTAATGTCTATATTATATTGTGTGTTTGTGTGTACACTTATCAAGTCAGATCTGACAGGTATAGGAAAAGATTGCCCCTCCTCCTCCAGCAGAGCATCTGGTGGATTCGAACCGTGTACCTCTAGGATTGCAGTGCAGCTTCTTGCTACTAGGCCACCAGAGCTCCCAGTTTAAAAATTCTTGATAAATTAACTGCATTAAACTTAAGCCCTGAAGATTTCAGTAGGCCACTCAATGCTACCATAGAAGACAATGGAGATTTGATACAGAAACCTCAGCAGGCAACCTCAGATGGGGTCCCTGCCATTTTGGACACTCCCTGAACATGAGGGGCAGGCCCTGTGCCAGGCCCCCGGCAGTGGAGGGCAAGGGATGGCAATGGAGGGCAGGGGGCAGGATTACCCGGGAGTCGGCTTCTTCTGCGGGAGGCGGTTGGGTGGCTGCGGTGGCAGGGATGGTGGTGTGGATTTGCACTGTGGGATTCCAGGCTGTGCCGGCTTCAACTGCTGGCTCAAGGATTCTATCACGCCAGGTGCTTTGGCTACAGGAGGGGGTGGGGTGGAAGTCAGAGGATCTGTAGAGAGAATAAAGAAGAGAAATAGAGAGTCAGAGTTCAAGGCTTTCCTTTCCCCAGACTTCTCACCTGAGACTTTTCAGATATGGTTGTGGGTTTTTGTTTTTCTGTTTGATACTTTCTAAGGAGAAAATGCTGTTTCACTGCTGATTTTTAGAAAAACGTCAGTAGTGGGGAGAAGATAAAAGGTACTTTCTAAACTAATGAGGAAGCAGCAAGCCTAAAATTAGGATGAAAAGGTCTCTATTATTCTGTGAGCATTTTCTCAGCTGGAACTCCCTGCTGGGAAGCCAACAGTTTTCTGCTCTCAACCCTAACACCTACAGGAATGAAAACAGAGCTGAGCTTTGGGGCCCTCCTTCAAGCTGACTTCTGTCCCTGGGTCTGTAACTGTGCCTTCTGGGGCCACTATTCTTTTTGCCTCAGCTGAACCATCCCCCAAAAGGGGAATGATGCCCTATCCACTTCACCAGGTTGTTGAGAGGGAGTCACACCACTGATTCAGTGGTGTTGGTGGGGAACACGTGGTGAAAACTTGGAGGCTCTGCACAGTGGTGCCAAACCTCTCCTACCATGCTATCCCTAGTATTTGGTGACTTTCACCACATATTGACATTGAATAAAAAAACATAAACCAGATTATGGTCTAAATGACTGTCCTCAAATATTGGAAATAGTAACAATGGCTGATGCCATGGACTAAATGTGTGAAAAGGGGGAAATCCTACTGAAATGCTTTGGAAGACAGAGGAAGAGTGTGAGTGAGCCATCGTGGGGACCAGGGGTGGGTCCAGGTGGGAGTTTGCACTGGGGAAGAGAGGCTGGGCAGAGTGTGGGTGGCCCCGGGGAAGCACCACCGTCGGCAGCACAGTGCCGCCCTGTCTGTGCCCGTGCAGGTGCAGTGAGGGGTTCTGCAGTGCTACCCCACGCTGGCTGCTGACAGCACCCCCCTGCCATCCAGATCTACAGAGCCCATCGGCAAGAAAGTAAAATAAAAAACGTACTGGTAGATGTCACGCGAAGAGGGGGCAGCGGTGGGTGGACAGCTGGCGGATCTGACGAAGATCGCTGCCTGCTTACACCGTCCACACTTACAGAGTTTGTCTTCCACAGGGTGCTAGCTGAGGAGGCTGTCTGCACTACACCCAGGCACGCACATGCACACGCACGCACACAACAAAAACAGAAACAGAACACTGCATTATTGATCCTCTCCCTGAGAAAACAGTAAGCACGACCCTTCTACAACAGCATCGGGAGAGCAAAGAGAACAGGGAACTTTTTATCCCCCCACTTCCATTCTGATATTCTCAGCCGGTTGCCTTAACTCTAACGCAAAACTGTAGTAATTCCCGATTTATCATCTCAAGTGCAAATGTTATTTGGAGAGGAGAAAAAATGAGCACAATGATGTCTCCTGAGCATTACATTCAGGACTTACTGGAACCCTGGCTTCTGTCCCTGAAGTTCTCCCCGAGCTCACCAGAGTAACTACTGTTCAAGGCTGAGTGCTGTGGTCGCAGACTACAGCGGTAGGAAACTGCAAAGACATCAAGTCCTGTGTTCTCTACCAAGTTTCTGCAGGGTCAGTTCAGGTGGGCCACAAAAGAAGGGGGATGGCATTTTCTGGTCACAATCTCTCCTCTGTCTCACAAAGCTCTGTGCTCTTCCTCACTGAGTGACGTCAACTCAGGGACCCAAGAGCCCAGCGGGCCTTGTACACAGAGCAGGCCTGGAAATGAGTGGGAGCCACCCGTCCCGGGAGTGCGCCGTGTGGTCCAGAGGAAGCCTCAGCCTGCCCCACAGTGAACGTGGTCTCCTCTCACCTCCCCACTCCCTCTCCTATTGATTCTTCGGCTGTTTCATCGCAGACTCAGTGTAGAATGATGGGGAATAAGAGAAGATCCACAGGGGTGAAGTGTAAGTGTGAAATACAGTCTATACCATCCAAAGCAGAAATGAGGATAACAATGGTAAAAAAGAAACAGGAAGAAAAAAAACCCCTCTCTAATTTCTAGATGTTAGGAAAGCAAGAAATAAAGATGAAGGAAATAAAGATGAGGAAGGTGCCACTCTTATATGATCCAACAATGTAAAATAAAATCTTTCTTTGTATGATCCATGCAGCCAGTGAGGGTCATTAATCAGAATGGGGATGATAAAATAATTTTAAAACTGGGAATACAAAATTAATATACATGTACACGGTGTGGAAAGAGGACAGGGGAAGGCAATGAGATGTCAACCACAACTTGCTGCTCTTACCTCCCTCACTCCCCGTCCTGTAGCACAGCCTCATTCAGGCCACAGGGAGGACAGGGAGACTGGGAGATATGTGTATAGTCTACCTATTTAGATTCCATCCTTGTTCTGGGACTTCCCCAAAAAAGCTAGGTTAGAGCACCCTACAGAGGATGTGAGGTACATGGTGGCTGAATCCGGGGAGGCCATGGGCTCTGTGCATGGGATAAGTGTACTTGTTTCTGGGGCCTGCTTGGTGAAACACTAGTTTTGCTCCTTATGGTAGGGTTCAGTGACCCAGACAACAGGTCCCCTGATAATTCTCTGGGCATCTCTGAGTGACAAGAGGCAGAGCCATGTGGGAGGGTCAACAACACACCCAGTCACACTGCTGAGTGTACAGATCCAGTGATTGTGTAGGTGGCCCTGATACCGAGCTCTTCGAATCAGGTCTTCTAGCCACTTGCTGTCATCACTCACCTACACCCTGTGACTCCCAGGACATTAGCTCTCCTCCGATTAGCATACTGCGGTCTGGGATTTATTATATGATGTAGGTTGCACAGTCTCCCAGTGCCTGGGCTCCCTGTTCCGTGGAGGCTCCTGTATTTTAGGCTTTCCTTCACAAGGCATCAGCAGTCCCTCCACACCCACAATGTGAACTCTCTGGAGGCCAGCAAGGGCAACACTGATGGCTACCTCCTAGTCAGCCGGGCTTTATTGTAGGGAAATTAACTGTCGGGGATTTTAGTTACTTTTTGTATGTTGTTGTTATGCGTCATTGAGCCAGAGCTGACTCATAGCTGATGCTACAGTGGGTTTTTCGAGGCTAGAAATTGCATGAGGTTTGCCTATACTTTTTCCATGGAGCAGCCGGTGGATTCAAACCACGTGCCTTTAAAGTGGCAGTACAGCTCCTGATCCACGTAGGCTGAGCCAAATATTCCATGTTTTGTGATATATCTACTTTGTGCAAAGATGTACACTTTTTGCACTGAAGGCCTTGGTAGTAACCACAGCAATAATTTGAATTTGTTATCACAGGCTAAGTATTATGTGGGCTAAGCATTATTTCAAAACTATCATCTTTGATTTTGAGGGATCATATATATAAGAAATGAATGCAAATGCCAAAAGCTGGCCAAGAGGGCTGCTAGGGGAGAAGTAACAAAGCAGAGGATAAAGGCCACGGGATGGGTGGGGAGTAGTGGAAGGTAAAAAGAAAACGAACAGAAGAGAGGTCCACAGAAAAGCACCTCATGTGCCAGGTTAAAATGCTGGAGCCCCCCTCTCAGAGCCAAAGGAAACAGAAGCATCCTAACTCTGCTCCAAACTGTAGCTGAGGGCAAAGCAACAACCAACTTTACAAGCAGAATCAAAACAAAACCATGCATTTTCAGGAAACCACTAACGGGATAGTACCTTTGCCAACATTCCGTGGAGGGAGCGGGGGGGCACTGGTGGTGGTGGGGGGTGCAGGCTGGGAGGGCGGTGGGCTGCCACTCAGGATGGCTCCGTACGTCTCATTCTGCAAGATGTTAGGCACGAAACCCCTCTGCTTGTCCTTGGCAAGGCTCGTGCCATCTCTGGCCAAACATGCAGTGTTGGACTGAAGTTGGTTAGATCCCAGCTGGTAGAAGCTGACAGGCCGGTCTTCTCGCCGATTGGGACTAGGCTGTACGAGGAATGTTGGAGCAGAGGTGTGTGAGCGGGAGGCACACAGACCTCTTGTTCTAACTCTCAGCCTAGCAGTGAAAGCCTCATGTCGATCATTTCTTAGACATTTATACCACTAGGCATTCTCAAGGGTTGCAGGAAGCTGCAAGATTTAACACCGACTCTGCTCTTTTCATCACAATATATACTACTTTCCAACACCCACAAAAAAACCAAAAGTCTATGCTTTACAAGTGATAATTCTTCATTCTCTAAACAAATTTAGAATGAAAGTTACTTCATCAAGCAAGCAAGAATTATTTCAACCTGATTCTGTATTTTTTTTTTCTTCAAACACCTGGAATCTTAGACTACCTAACAGTACGGCTGACTTTGGTCACCCAGCTGCAATCCCCAATAGCTCTGGCTGCTGCAGGTGAGATCAAATCTTCTTCCACATGGACCATAACTGCAGGAGTCCTAGTGCCACAGTGGATAAGTACTTGGCTACCACAGGCAAGGGCAGTGGTTGGCTCTTTCTCCCATCAGCCACTCTCCAGGAGGAAGGTAAGTGCCAGGAAAGGCCAGAGCCTTGAGAATTCTGTGCAGCAGCTCTACGCTATCCTGCAGGATTACTCTGAGTCGGCAGAGGCTCAATGGGAACATGCTGTCAGTGTGAAATTAACTAACTCTGCTCTCCCTGACACTGCTTTGGGTCAAAAACAGTGAAGACATTTCTATAACTGAAAAAAGGTTACGTTACAGATATTGGCAAAAAAAGTAAAGCACTTTACTGGCTCAGTAAGTTTTTGGAATGCCATATGTATCACTGGACATCTTTTTATACCCATTGTTGTTGACCCATTGTTTTAGTTGTTGTTGATTGCCACTGAGTCAAGCATGACTCATAGTGACCCTACTGAACAAAAGACCTGAAGCCTTTCTATAACTATGGTCGTTTCTCAAAGTTCATAGTTTCCTGAGGCATGTTGTTTAGGAAGTGGATGCCACACCTGCTTCCAATTTTATACCCATTAGAACATGAAAGATCTTCAGTAGAGTTTTTAAAAACTACCTAACTATGTTTCATATGGCATTTCCTGATAATTTCGACATGGAACACTTCTTCAGGCAAACTTAATACTACTTTGCTAACAGGGAATTGGAATTGGGAAGAAACCAAGAGTTTGGGCTTTAGTGTAAAGGTTCCTGAGTTTCAGAGTCAGCTAAGAAACTTATATAAAAGCAGTAATCTTTTCTGGGGTTCCACCAAGTATGCAAAATAGCGAGTGTTCTAGACCATGAAGCAAGAGGTCTGATTCTGGTCCCGAGCCTATTAATTAGTTGCTTCACTTTGGCCAAGTCAACTTCTCTCTTGTGGCTTCATTCCCCTCTTTAGAGAAAGCCAAGAGTTGGCACTCCAAGGGTCACTTAGTGATTCCAGTTAGTGTTTTTAACATGTGAATGACCCAACCAGTTGGACACTATCCACTGCTGGTGAATACCCAGCTCTTTATAACCTTACTCCCTAGTGAGTGAACTTCCTCCAAAAATCATTATAGTCAAAGGCTTCCTAGGTCTTCCCTTTGCATAGAAAACCAAGCAGCTGCCTGTTGTGGCGTAATTAACTCTTCCTTTAAATGAACGTGTGTGGAAGCTGAGAGGCAGGAAGTAGTAGAGGAAAGGGTAAACCAGTCTAGTGAGACAAACGAAAACAAAAAGTAAACCGTATCTCCCTACAAAACCACTCTTGGCTATAATTATAGGCTGGGAGCCACAGTGCTCTGAATGAAGCTTATCAAAGCCCTTTTGAACAGAATGCAGTCTGGCACAAACCTGCAATTTCTCATCCACATCATCATCGCTTTCATCCAGATCTTCGTGCAGTAATCGCCACTCATATTCGACATGAACATGAGAATTAAATCTTCCCGATAAGGCCTGAGTGAGCTGAGGAGGACAAAGAGATTGTCAGTAATGCAGCTCTCAGACACAGGCGTGTGACACAGACATCCACCAACATGTCCGACAGACAGCAGAAAAAGACAGGCTCAGAGGCCAAAAACACACATTCTAATGCAAGGCTAGTGCATTTCAATCTCCAAGTCTCAAGTTCCTCATGGTAAAAGAGATGCATTAGCTGGACCCTCTGCCCCTCAATTCATAGAAAAATCTGGATTTGAAACAGTGTAGTTCTCGTTAAATGCTCCGTAAATTGTAAAATGCTGTACACAGGCAAGGAGAATTTGGAATCTCAAGGAGAACAAAGAGCCTAGTGGTACAGAAATGTTTCTTGAAAGAATGAACGTGTTTTCTAATTAGTAACTGTGCCTTTCTAAACCCATTTGAGAAAAGTTAGCTGTGCAGATAATAATTTGAATGATTTTTTTTTCATCTTCCCAGAGAAGGCAGACAGCTAATGACATTCTAGATGTACAGAAGAGATATAAAGTCATTACATACAATGAATCTTTTAAGGACTAGGGCTTAATTCTCCCTATAACCACACAGTGGGTATGTGACCTTGGAAGGGTACATAACTTTTCTGTGCTTGTTTCCTCAACTGTAAAATAGGGATAATATATAGTTACGAGTGTTAACTAAGCTAATGGAGGGAAAATGCACAGAATAGTATTTGGGTGGATATAGTTATACAGAGCTTATTATTAATAATTCTATTTACTGAGCACTTACGGCTTTAGAGGATTCAGTAATAGTTTTCATAACAATCCCACAATCTGGCACGTGTTACTCCACTTTACAAATAAGGAAACAGCCTGAGAGATTTTCCCAAGTCTGGTCCCTAGGGGTGCTTTCTACTGTTCGCATTGCTCATTTTTACAAAATAAGAAAGGACAAAGATGGTGCAGAACAACGGGACTGATTTAGATTTGAGGAATAAAAATAAGAAGGTATCGTGCAGCTGAAAGTTTACAGACACTGAAGAAAGGGGGATGTAGGATCAGGCCTCAGAGATTCTGCCCCAGTTGCCCCTGTAACTTCAGAAGATTATGTCCAACTGGCCAGTACTGGCTCATGTGCCAAGTCTCACCACACGATGGAGTGGTCATTGCCTCTAGAGAGACTTTCTCCAAGTAAAACCACTTTTTAGCTGGTCTAGTCTGGGACACCACAGCCTGCTCAGGACGCCCTCTAAGAGGCCCCGAGAAGACAGTGTTCCAGGAATGCACTGGCTTCTCACTGTCCCAGGAAGGGGTGCCCCTTGCCCTGTCCCGGCCACGTGGGGACTCACCAGCTCCTCACAGTGCTCGTGCTTTAGGCGCTTGGCAATGTCGAGTGGTGTCTCTCCTGACTCGTTAGCTGAAGGTCAAGGGCAAGAAAAGGAGTGCATTAAGGCAAACCAGGCAAAATTCTGCTATCTAGAGGCAATTATTAAAATATCACAAAGCACAAAGAAATTAAGTTGAACATGATTAAGGAAACCCACAACTGGTTAGCCTCAGTCAGGGATGAAACTGTGTCATAATTGTATTGAGAGATAAAGAACTGCAAGAGGTATAGTCAGTAGGATTATAAAAATTAAGGTTTGAACAAATCAAGAAAATAAAACTGTTCACATAGTAAATTCCAATCAATTTCTAAACTGTAAGGTAAGTGAATAAAGCTGTTCAGTACAAATCTCCCAATGAGGACACCGTTCATCTGGTTCCATGCATTTGAACGTCCAGAATAAGAGCTGCATAGTAAATTAGTCTGTGGAGGGGACTGTATAACAATGAAAGAACTTTTTTTTTCTAAAGAAAAAACAAACTGGGGGAGAGGGGGACATGGAGGAAAATGTACAATAATGAATGAATGATAATCCAAGTTCTTTATAAACTTACAATAAAATCTCAAAAAAGAAAAAAAGAAATGCAAAGCACACTCAAAGGGTACACCTCTGGCAGTTTGACTCTTCCAGTGGCTCCAAGGGAGAAATCCTCCAGTGCGATTCACAGCCTCAGAAACCCAATGGGAGGGTCAGCTATGAGTTAGACTCAAGGGCAATGAGTGAGAAGCATGTTTATAGTCTGTGTGCAGAGATTCAAGAATGTTCAAAAGTTGTCCAAATTCACTTCTGTACCATTGAGAGCTATAGGGCTTACTGTTTTCCTTTCTTATAAACCATGATGTGTCTGCAAATGCATATGAAGTCGAAAAACAATGGATGAGCACTGCTCACCAACACTGAAACCACCAGAAGTTTTGCGGAACATGTGGGAAGAGGCCCCTTACTCTCAGAGGCCAGGTTTCATGTCTACTGCATCCTGAGAGGAGCCCAAAGGCTCACCAACTGCAGAGGGGACCCCGAAGGCGAACTTGTTTATGTTCCAACAAACTTCTTGCTGTTAGGTGCCGTTCAGTCAACTCCGACTCCCAGTGACCCCAGAAACAGCAGACTGGAACCCTGCATGCCTATCCTACACTATTCTCACCAGACACTGAGTCGGTTCATCTCGCAACTCCCCAGCATTCCACATTTACCTATTTCAATGGAGGCCTTTCCCCGGAGGAGGAGTTTGAGGCACTCGGCGTTGTCTGTCAGGCAGCAGTAATGCAGGGCTGTGCTACCTTTACCTGTCTGTTTATCCAGGTTCCCACTAGTGGAGACAAGGGTAGAGAAAAAGAGGAAACAAAATGAGTCACAAGCCAGAGGACTTGCCTGGAGAGGGCAGTGGGGTGCATGAATAGTAGAGGCTGTGCGTGATCAGAATAAATCAACAGAAATTACTATAAACCATCTTCCAAAGTGGAGAGACTCAACACTCAACCAGTTTGTACAAGGGGCTTGGCACAAGGCTGTCAAGGAAATAGTGCAATGATGGCAGAGGCCAAAGGAGAGGCTAGTACAGTACCCCTGCTGGTGTTGAGTAAGGGCTGAGGTGGGGCAGCTGCGCCCACCAGGCGAGCGATGACATCCTGTTTCATGGTCAGTGCCCGTGTCCTGAGGCTGCACTGCCTTCGTCTGTCTTGAGGGTCTCACTGGAGACAGGGCCTCAGGAAGGCTATACGACTCAACCATCCTGTGCACGAGGAGGGAGGACAGTTTTGTCCATCTCTTTACTTGACAATCCTAGAGTCTATACCCTCAGTTGCCTGTCCATTTAAGACTGCTCTCAGAAAACTGGGTAACAAGGGAACCTGGAGATTTCTCCCAAGGAACAAAACCGGACAAACCAACCGGCTGCTCATGGTGACTGTATGTGTCAGAGTAGCACTGTGCTCCACGGGTGTGCAATGACTGTAGTTTCAGAAGCCCATCACCAGGCCTTTCTTCCGAGGCACCTCTGGGTGGGTTCCAACTTCCAACCTTTCAGTTACCAGTGGAGTGCTTAATCGTTTTTGCCACCCAGAGACTCCTTGGACAAGAAACAAGCCATTGAATCAACAGCAGAGGGAAAAAACCCCTGCAATTATGGACACCCATTGTGAGGAGGACAGAAGAACCATGGCTGTGTGCTCGTTCGACAGACAGAAAAGAACACCATCAAGCGATGATGCCCGCTGCTCCCACTGAGGGGAAACCAGTTGTGATTTCAATGCTAAAAGAGCCTTATTCTCTGACTCTACTCCTGCTCTTCTTTTCTGCATGAAAAAAAGATCAAGGATTATCATCTGTTCTAGAATTTATGCAGAAAGTAAATGAAATCATTCTGCTATTTAATAAAACCTTTATGGAATCCTTGTTACATTCCCAGGCTTAGACCGGCATTTAGACCATCAGGTGCAATGGACAGTTGGTCAGCTCCCACCACTCTCCCAGCTAACTCTCATTACTTGGGAAGGAGCTGGAGACCTGAGAGTCAACATGGCCCTGGCTGGCCTGCCTTCCAGGAACAGCAAGGAAAGGCAGAGGATTAAAAATGCAAAACACCCTGTTGCTTTTAGACAATGTCAGGAGTTTTTATTTGACACTTCTCACTCCAAGACACATACACCCCACACCACAGACAGGAAGTCAGGAGAGACCTTGAAAAGTCTTGAAGTCTGGCCTTCAGGAGCCAGGCAGGAAACCCACAACCATGTCTGAATAGAGAGATGCTGGTAAACTATAAATGAGCATCTCCTCTAAAAGCATATTCTAATGAGACAAAAACCCACTAAAATTTTCAAACCAACTTACATGGACACAATCCATGTTAACATCTCTGGCCCTGACAGTGGTTAAAGCGCTGTCTTTATTTCCCTTTTTACATTTTTCTACTGCTCAGTGTACCGTGCTTGGGCCATGTGAATGCTAAGTCTCAGGAGAGCCAATGGCCCAGACCTCTGCCCGGACCATGGCTGTGGGGCCGCGGACACACTCTGCTTTCTAGGAGTTCAGAATTGAATGGAAACGTCTTCCTGGGGTGTCACTGCGTGCAAGACACCCCAGGATCTTACCGACAGTGTGAAGGATTTCTTTTCTCACACTGCAGGAGCTTTAAAGATTTCAATGCAAAAAAAGTCTCATTCTTCAATTTCTTTTGCCCCCATGTGCTGCCAGGTGAGCCATGAAACACTCCACAGCAGGCAGCATGTTCCCTGCCCCGTGGTTCACGTTTAGACCTGGAAAAACGCACACACCGTGGACACACGACTGAAGTTAACAGGGCAGCACCCACTTTTGTCCCCAGGGAATAAAAATAAATGCCTCCTTTTAACTTTATAATGCTCACCTGTTCTGAACTAGAAAGTCTACAATGTGAAGAGAAGTCCGGTCCACAGATCTGACAGCGAGGTGGAGGGCAGTTTCATCTGGTTCCTGAAAACCAAACACAAACATTCCAGCACTCTGAGGGCAGCATTCAGCTTTACATCCAACACACATATATCATGTATAAAACACCTTCCAAATGCCTTTTGCTTTCTTTAAAAAAACAAACCAAAACCAAAAACCACCACAAATTAAAAAAACAACCCACACTTACTTATAAGATATATGTTGCTATTAACTGTAGTTGAGTTGGCCTCAACTCATGGTGACCCTATACATTCAGAAGTGCCTCCAGACCCTGTGCCACTCCTAATGCCAGCTGTTCTACAAACGACAGGGGTTTTATTGGCGAATTTTTGGAGGCAGATGACCAGCCCTTCTTCACCTGAGACACATGTGGTTGTAAGCTGCCCTTATGTTGATTCTGACCTACGATATGTCGAGTAGAACTGTTACACAGTTTTTAAGGCTGTGCCCTTTTCAAAACGGATCACCAATGTCTGCCACCTGAGCAGTAGTCTGAATTACCAAAATCATCTGATTAGCAATCACTTAACTGTCTCCACTGCCCGGGGACTCTTGGAAGATACATGTTGTTATTTTCAATGTCACCGAGTCAGTCCCAACTCATAGTGACCAGAGGTGCCTCTTTAGTCTCCATGACAAATGGACACTTCAGGCCACCTATATTCAAGTCTCTTATACTTGTTTTCTAAATGAATATAATTTTAAATACTTAAAATTTTCTTATTCTATATTTATAGATTAAGGCCAGTAATGCTAATACCTTTACTGTCTTCAAGTCTCACTCATTCAAGACAGAGAGGCATGTCTGCTCCCAAGATAAAGATGCTGGCCTTAGAGAAGCACTTCCCCACGAAGACTCAGCCAAGCATCTGACCAACAACAGGAAACCCGAGAGGACACGTGAACTGATCTAACATTCTAACTCAAAACACTGGGCCTCAATGGAGCATGCATAGCCAGGAAAGCTGTGATTCTCAGTCCTGTGTGCTTTTATGTTTAGCTTAATGAGGTTCCCAGGTATCCCAAAGCTGCTGGGATTTTATTTATCTATAAAGGCATTTTTGTGGAAGAAAAGAAATCCCCTACGTAGTTTATTGCCGACTAAACCCTCAGTAGTAATGTTCATTTCTCTCAGCAAAGTTCTCTCAGGAAGCTGGATGATGTCTCATTGTTACTCCAATTACCTCAGGGAAGAAAAGTGGAAAGGACAGAGTAAAAGCTGCAAAGACTTCACCAATCCCCCTCAAAACTCTCATTACTAGTCTAGTTCTTTTAATATGTATGGTATCATGCTAACCCTCTCAGGTGACCTGGGCTTCAGAAAGGACAGGCTCTCAGTCACCCAGGCAATGGGCTGTCTTTTCAGACTTAGCATTAATTCTTGGGTTTAAGATGAACTGACCACTTACAAAAATTACAATGCTCAAAACTCAATGCCATCTTCTGAACACTGTTTCAGCATTTGACGGTAAAGCCCCGCCACTTCCCCTTACCCCTTAATTATTTTTTTTAAGTAATAAACCCACTCTTACATGTCCATTGGCCAGTGGGATTTTCTCTGTAAGATCCACACCATCAGCATAAGCTTGGAGTAACCCAAACACATCTCTTGTTTTGACGGCCTCACAAAGACTGTGGAGTTTGGCTACATTATCCGTGTGTCTTTTCTTTGCATATTTTCTTTCAATGTACTTGGCAGTAATGTAGTCTTTTCTGGCATTCCTGAAATCAAACATGATTGCCCCGTAAGTAATTATGGACCTCTATTCCTTCACTCTGAACATTCATTCATCAATAGCTATTTTAAAAAACCCAAAATAAAAGCAAACCAACCAGTCCTTCCTCCTCCTCCTTAGAAGTAGCACCAAGTGTTACCTTTTTGGCTTGAGTGCCAGAAAATCCAAAGAGCGAACAAGCCACTGTGTGGGTTGCCTACTGCACCTATGGTCACTGTGACCCTCAATGGTGAAGCCCGTTACTTTCCAACATATGTCGCTGAGGTTCACTGCAGGAGCTCATGACACTTACACAGGTTTGGAGGGATACATGGCTGTGTTGATGGCTTTCCCACTCTCAGGGTAAAGTTTCCACTCCCTTTGTCAGCCTGCCTCACCCTTTGCAAACTTCTGGGCTCTGATCTTACCAATCTGTTTCCCTCGATACCTCACACCTGTCTATTTGCCTTTGAGTACCCAAACCCCTCTGCTTGGCACGCCCTTTACGTACTTCCTCTCCTGGTAACCACCCTCCTTCACTCAGGGTCATGGCCCTATGAAAGCTGGTGTCCTTCCTCTGCTTCTCGGTCCACCTGATCTTGACTGATGTCACAACACTCACACTGATGGTGCTCTGCCCATCTGAGTCCAACATACAGGGCAAACATCTTCTCCTTCGTAAGTATCATATTCAGTATAAAAAGTGTGCACTAAATGTCAGATCAATCAAAAGGAACTGTCCACTTGTACCTTCTAATCTCTGGGTCTTTAAATTGGCATCATGTTCACACAATCTTTTTCAAGAAGCTTGATATTATGGAAGATTATGGTAATATAAACCACCTAGATTCAAAATCCCACTTTCATTATACATGAATGGTTTGACTCTGGTGCATTTCATCTCTCTATGCTTCAAGCCTTCATGTATGGAAAATGTGTACAATATAGATGTGATCGTAAACTATGAGAAGTACAGTATATCTGTTGAACAGGCCTTTTAGGATCCTGGAAAGCATGATGAAACTAAAAGAGGTAGAATAGGAAAAAATTTGGAGAACTCTTAATTAGCTCAATAATTTTAACAACGACAATGAAAAAAGTCTAGATAAAATTTCTGAGAAACATAAAAAAGCCCCAAATTCATTGTTGCTGAATTGGAACCAACTCCTTGTTGACCCTTGAGTGGAATTTTGGAGGCTGTAAATCCCATGGAAGGAGACCGCTCGTCTTTCTACCAGGAGCTGCTAGTGAATTTGAATTAGCCACCACAGGCAGCTATGCAATAGGCCTGCAATGCCCTATGTTACTGTGTACAATCCAGATGGAAGTGACCCACAGCTGACCCTCCAGGGGTTGTCACAGGTAGTTAATTGAACAGAGTGGAGGGAGACAGCCCATCCCTCTCCCATGGAGCAGCTGGTGGATCCAAACCACCTTACTTAGGCTTTGCAGTGCAGATTCTTACCACTAGCCCACCAGAGCTCTTACAACTCCCTATAGTAACAGATATGGCAATCAAGTCAGATACACCCCACACAACTCAAGTATCCAAAGATTGGGGAGCTCTGATAGCCTACTGGTAAGGAGCTGTGTGGCCAACTCGAAAGTACATGATTAGGATTCACCATAAGGGATGCATCCTATCACCATACCTTTTTAATCTGTATGAAGAACAGATTGAGAGGCAGAGCTTTATGAGGAGGATTGTGGCATCAAGATTGGAGGAATACTCAACAATTGAAGACGACCTGAAGCACTTGCTGCAAAAGGTCAAGGACTGTAGTCTTCAATATGGACTGAAGCACAGTATCAAGAAGACAAAGATTCTCACCACTAGGCCAATTGGCAGCACCATAATAGATGGAGAAGAGACTGAGATTCTTAGTAATTACAGCTTGCTCGGATCCACAATCAACACTCTTAACATCAGCAGTCAGGAAATCAAAAGACTAACTGCACTGGGATAATCTGCTGTCATGGACCTCTCTAGAGTGCTGAAGAGCAACAATGTCAGTCTAGATACAAAGGTGCACCTGATCTGGGCCATGGTCTTCCCAATTACTTGTTATGCTTCAGAGAGTTGGACAATGACTAAGGATGACGGAAGAAGAATAGATGCCTTCGAATTGTGGTGCTGGAGAAGAGTCTTGAACATACCATAGTCTGACAAGGAAACAAAAAGGTGTGTCTTGGATAGGGTGAAACCAAGTCTCTCCTTGGAGGCTAGGATTTTGAAGCTTTGCCTCACTTAGTTTGGGCACATGGACAGGAGAAGGACATCATGTTCGGAATGGTGGACGGACAGCGCACGGGAGGGAAGAACCTGGATGAGATGGATTGATGCAGTAACTGGGGCAATGTGGGTTGGTGTGTCAGAATTAGTGAGACTGGCTCAGGACAGGTAAGGGTTCAGAGCTGCTATACTTAGGGTCGCTATGCATCACAGGCAAGTCTGTAAGCAGGAGTGGCATCCACTTCCTCAATAACATGCCTCTGGAAACTCTATGAACTTTGATAAATGTCGACAGTTATAGAGGGGCTTCAGGCCTATTGTTCATAGGGTCGCTATGAGTCGTGCTCGACTTGAAGGCAATCAACAACAACAATAGCTGCTCTGTGGGAGAAAAATGAGCAATCTACTCTGACATGATTTATACATCTGAAAACCTGCTAGACGTCAGTTATAGGTTGGTTCCAACCCAAAGGTACGTTAATAACCAACTCCCAGAGTGAAGTCATCCAGGTCCCTGGCCACAGTCTCCTCCCCTCCCCCTGTGGGGTTTTAAGCCAATGCCTTAGAGCAGCCTTAAACCCTAGGCAAGCCTCAAGGAACCTACTCTTGGGGGGGGGGGGAAGGGCAGTACTACACATCAAACAGGACCCCAAAAACTTCTCTCTACTTGCCCATATGGACTGCCATGCACAATCAGCAAAAAGCTACAACTCCCTGAGTGGAGTCATCTAGGCCCTTGACTGCAGTCTCCCCCGCTCCTTTGGGTTTTAAGACAACACCTTTGAGCAGCCTTAAACCCTAGGCAAGCCTCAACATTTTATGTTGAAAATAACATTATAACAGGCTATATATTATGTGACTCTATTTACAAGAAACACACAGAACAATGTATCTTTAGAAAGAGGCACAGATGAGTGTCGCAGGAGTTTTAGGGCAGGCTGGAGGGGCAGCAACTGGGCAAAGGTTTATTTTTTTGGATACTGATGTACAAATTCCTGAATATACATAGTCTGCTGAATCTTCTACATAAATGGTATGGTATCTGAATCAATAAAATGGCTAATACAGCAGAAAGAAAAATCAGGGCTAATAAATTCCTCTAACAACACAAAAACCTTATCTGAGTCAATAACTCTGCCAGGGATGTAGGGATGACAAGTAATATGGTAGGATCTGATCCTTTCCATTTCTCATCCCTTCATTCTGAACTAAAGGGTTCTTTCAGAACAGGCTGATGCTCATATCTGAGGGAGGCCAGAGTCAGTGGAAGACCCGAGCTCTGTGGCCAGAATGCCAGATGTCAAATTGGGAGCCATCAGGTTGCAGGCTACTTAAACTCTGCAAGTGTTATCTGTGCACTAAAAGGAGGACATTTACCTCACAAGCTGTTCCAAGATTAAATGAGCTAACACATTTAAGCATGTAGCCCTGCACTTTAGAGATAGATGCCAGCTAACATTACTAAACCACCACTGAAGGAAGAGGAGTCTGAGAATGGCATGGGGCAAATGGTCAGCTCTCTGAAGCATGGGCACTGCTCGTTTTCACCATGCCACCTCTGTTTAGTGACTTGGCCTCTCAGCTTCAAAATCACAAGACGCTTGACTAAAAGGCTTTAAGAAGTGTAGGTGAAGTTCAGGCTCACATCAGAGGACAAAGGCATCTGCCGTTATTGAGAAGCCACCAGCAGTGACATCCTTCTTATCTAATATACTGGCCTAACCACTTGGACTGCTCTTTTCAGGCTCAAGAGGCAAAGGGTAGGGAGGAGAGAGACACCTCCCCAACTCACGCTTCTACTGCCTGTGGAATAAGATGTCTCTACCTGTGAACCTCAAGCCATCTGCACTAGAACAGCCTGGGCCTCAGTCATACTGAATCAGACACCATGAAGATGCAAGAAAGGAATCTGGAGATCTTGATTTTCACTAATATTTGAGAGCCAATGCCCACACTGCTTCCTTAGTATCTTTAGTGAGAAATCACCAGCTGGGAACACACCAATTAGTTGACAATATAATTGTATTACAAACTGGCACTCAGGAAACTCTGAGAGAATATTGAATAACCAGGTCCCCTTGGGGCTGTCAGTGCTACGTCTCTCTCTCCCAGATTTGCCATCTCATCCTTCTCATCTGGCCTATTCCAAAGTGTCGGGGCAGCTGTGGGCTTTTCTGTACTTGCCTTCGGTCTAAGGAAGGAAACGGTGCCGAGCCAGCAGCCTCCCATGGGAGTGGGAGTCCTGTGGGAAGTGACCTGGAGGCAGAGTGTTGGAGGCCCAGAAGCCAAGCCAGCAAAGCAGGAGAGGAGACAGCTACCACAAAGCCCAGATGAACCAAGAGGGTGAGGCTTTCTTCCCAGCATTTGCAAAGACCCATAATTACTGCCCTTGGTAATACGTTGTTCCTGGAAAGACCATGTATGAGGCCAGCGTGTCCAGCTGCAAAGGAAAATGCATTCAGACAATCTGGCCAAGGTAGCAGGCAGCTTAGGTTTCAAAGCTCAGGAAGAGTTTCCAGGGACACTCTGTGAATGTGTTTTGGCACCTGGCATCATGCTGCATCCCTCCCACCTCTTGTCCACTCCACAAGGCCTCAGATAAGTCTCATCCTCCACAGCCTTCCCTGACGTCCCACAAGGATCACTCCTGCTTGCGTGCAGCTGAGAACTGCACACTGCATGAATGGTGATCTTAAACCCGCCGTGTGCGTCATCCTCACAAAAATGATGTTCATAGCAGTGAGATTAAATTTTGTTTCCTCAAGCAACGGCAA